CACACTGAGCCCTTTCGTAGTAAGAGATGTCAAACCCATGATCTAATACTCCGAAATAGCAGGCGCAGTAAAGTAATACCGGCGAGAGCCGAGTCCTCCATGCACGTTGCCAAAGCAGCTCTGGCACAGCCTGGAGTTTGTTTTCCGTCTTTCAGCACCCATGCTTTTACACATCCCAGGCACTGGCACAAGGCGCGGCGATGCTGTTACAGCAGCACCCAGGACCCTCAGGGTCTGTACTTCCATAGTGCATGCAGCAACCACTGTGAGCCCGCCACGAGTAGACATACGCATTAATAGTTTAGCAGGCAACACAACAGTGCTCTAGTGAACTGGATTGTGTCAGTCTGGGTAGACTAGAGAGACAAATCCATGGACACTATGTGCATACGAAAGAAATTTATATACAAGAGCAATTGAACATTGAGGAAATGTCCCAGATCAAGTCCATAAATCAGATATTAGCCCATATTTTCAATATCAATCTATAAAGTCCTCTTCAGACTCACGAAATACATGCAATGATGCCAAATGCAGAAGATCACAGGCCAGTGGGTAGAAAGTCTTTGGATCCAGTGTCATTGGAAGCATCTCAGTGCTGGCAGGGGTCTCTTTGGCTTCCCTGGCTTCCGAGGTCTGGTTGTGTCCATGTGGCTTGTCTTATGCAATGTCTCCCAGGGAGTAGCAGGGAGAGAGAGGTGTCTTCTGCCTCCAAGGAGGAAGTCCCAGATTTCCCAGAATTCTCAGGAGAAGGCCAAAAGAAGTCTCATTGGCTATCTCCAGATTGACAGCCTAGATTCCACTCCTGCACTCTTAATCCTTCACTTGACACCAGATTAGGTGACTACCACCAGAGATCATCATGGCCCAGATCCCCTCTTCCCTCCAGCCTGTGCCTTTCCGTGGGCAGACAACCGTGTTCTGGAGCTGCTCAGCCTGTTGCTATTGAGATGATACAGGAGTCCTGGTGGAATGGTGGTTATGCGTTGGGCTGTGAACCTCAAGGTCAGCAGTTCAAAACCTCCCGCTGTGCTCCACTGGAGAAAGCCAAGGCCTACTCTTGTCAAGAGCTACAGTCTCAGAAACTCACAGGGGCAGCACCACCCTGCCATAGGGTTGCTGTGAGTAAGCCTCGACGGCACAGCAGTGATTTGGTTTGGTTTTTATTGAGCAGATAAAGACGTCGTCGGTTTCTGAGGCTGTTAGCTAACTGTCACATCTTTCTCCCAGGGAGCGGTAGGTGGGCTTGAAAAGTCAGCCATTGTCGCTTTAACCATGTAATCACCAGGGCTTAGTTGGCTTACTGCCTCTCAAATCTGTCAGCATGGCTCTATAGTACTGACAGGACATGGGTAGCGAGCGGGGAGCACCTCAGGTCTTGTTCCCTATTTCCTGTATGTGCTGAAACAGCCAGAAAACAATGTCTCAGGCACCGGAAGGTTATAGCACTCGCTGGATGAATTTCTTCCCCGAAACCACTCAATTTCTCTTTTCTTCTGGAAAACGGATTTATCATGCTGATAAATATGGAAAGTAGTGGACACATTCCACTGTCATCTATTGGGCAAAACTGATGATTTTTTTGGACGTATTTTTTAAAAAACTTCACTTTCTCATTTGAATCCACCAGCCGTGACAACGGAGAAAGATGCGAGGGTCTGCTTCTATGGAGAGACTGACTGCCCTGGAAACCCAATGGGGCCATTCTCTCCCGACAGGGTGGCCACGCCTCCACGGCAGAGGGCGTGGTTTCACACACAGACACGCCCCTTTGACAATTTCCACGTGCACAATTCTGTGATACTGATCACAGTTTTCAAGTTGTGCTCCAAGCCTTTTTTTAAAAACAAAACAAAATTTGTTTTGAAATAACTTAAAACTTTTGGGAAAGAGACAAAAAGTAACAAGTCACTCCTTACCAAGCTACGTTAGTATCTGTACCTTTAAACATGTATAGCCTTCAGACAGATTGTCCCCTTTTGGCTACACTTTACCATTTTTACCTTCCATTTTGGGTACATTTACAATTTTCAACCTCCTCTTCCCTCCCCTCAGCTGCCCTTTCCTTTCTCACCTATCCCTTCTTTTCTCCCCCCTCCCACATAAATATATCTGAATTATAGTCATGTGCACACACAGATATTACTATATTTTCATAAAATATTTGAGAGTAAGTTGCTAGCATCGTGCCCTTTGACCCCGAACTGAAACGTGTGTTTTCTAAGAACAAGGACGTTCATTTACAGAACCACAGTATAATGATGAAAAATAAGAACTTCAACCCCACACACAGTACCTTCACCAGTAATCCCCCTCAGAGAAAAACCTTTTTCTTAAAGTCCAGTGTTCAACCCAGGATCACACATTTCATTTATTTTTTCTGTCCCTTTGATTTCATTTAGTGCTGAACGTTTCCCCCACCAGCCTTGGTTTTTCATGAATTTGACATTTTTACACAGTACATCTTAAAATAGACCTATTATCGTACAGGCAATCTCCCAGTTTTGATTTGTTGCTACTTCCTGTTTACATGGGTGAGCTACAGTGGCATTGTGGATCCTTAGTCAGACTCTTGAGTCAGTTTTTCCCATGGTTGGCGATGTTAATTTTCATCACACCACTGTGAGTGTCCACTAAGTTTCTCTATTAGAAAGTTATGAATAAATCTACTACTCATCTGTCAGTTTGTCATACTGTGTTAGACAGGGTTCTCTAGAGAGACAAAACCAGATTGCTAGTAATTTTATATATATATTTATAAAGATAGATAAATAT